TTACTGAAGACGCCAATGCACTGGCAGAATAGATTTTGTAGGCATCGGTGACGTATGTGAGAAGGGAAATGAAGGTTGTCTGGTATGCGAGTCCGAATATTGAACCTGACAGTACAGGGACAATCCAGTGGACGCTCGGTTTTGCCGACCAGGCCAGCCAAAACATGCTGATAGATAGAAGAGGACCGGCTATGCACGAAATTGGGAGCCTGTGATACTCGGGGCCTGAAGCCCAGTGTTTTCCGAGCTTCTTAGCTTTTTGAAAGATCATGTCGTAGTATAGAGCGAAGAGACAGGATGACGCGGCGCCAACACCCACTATTCAGGATTAGACTCGTGGCGACCTTAGTTTTGAGAGCAAAATGACGACTTACTTGGAAGGAATGTGAGAGAAGTCATCGCAACATCGAAACCATATATCCCTTTGCTTTTTTAGCTTCGATTCATTTCGGGGCACTGTGTGAACATACCTTTGAAGATTAAGGGATAAGCTTGGAAGTAGAAGAATACCATGGCCCATGCCAGAGAAACATAGATAGCCGTGAAGAGGATAATTGGTTCAAACACAAGCATTGTGAGTGGGCGTGTGATTGTTTGAGTGATAGTAAAAGTAAAGGCCGCATCTGACTTCAGTTCTTGTGGAGCATAATAACGGTAACGTCCCGTCTCTCTGCGTAATTTCCTAGCTTGCTTCTTCAGCAAAACAGGCGTGAATGTTTCTGTACAGTACGATTCAGCTTTATTCCTTGCGAGCAGTAAATCCGCTCCTTACCTGACAAAAATAAGAGAGCCGTCCATGTAAGACCACAGATGATCAGGTCGATACGGAAGGTCCATCTCCAACCATATTTGACCGAACATCCAGAGATGATAGGTCCAATAATTGGCCCAAAGCTGGAAGCCTTTTGGAAAGAGTCAGCGTGGTCTGCATTGAAACTTCCCTACGATGCCATAACTTACCGACATGTACAAAGCCATTGCGCGACCGCGACTTCGCATATCAGAGAACATATCCGCGTACACTCCACCAGAAACGGTCTGCGGGGCAGCAGCCATTGTACCACAGATCACACGGAAGATCAATAGGGCTGTCCAATTTGGGGCAAGAGCACAGCCCAGTGTCCCAAGAACGAAGACAGTAAAGGTCCAGAAGAGTACTGGTCTCCTTCCGACGGTCTCACTCAACGGGCTCCATACCAAGGGTCCAACGCAATATCCTATGAGGAATATCGCAGTTGGCAACACCTTTTGGCCGTTCCCTGAAAGACCGAAGTCCTGCATAACAGTGGGGACTGCATTGCTAGGCAATGAGGATGAGACGCCACTGTTGAGCACGATCAATAGCCCCACAACTGCATTGTATATTTTCTTTTTCTGCGCCGGATGTCAGTTATGGATTCTTTTGATTGGCTCAGACGTAGAATGTTCAAACTTACAAGCGTCCAGTTGGTGGGGTCTGCGGTTGAGTCTTCTGAGAACTCGACCAGTGTTTCTTCAGGGGTCAAATCAATGAGTGTATAGTTTTCATCTTTCATGGGGCTTGTAGAAGGTTTATTTGAATGTGATACAACTTTCTCATTGAAGCTAGGCTTCTTGTCTAGAAGTAGTTAGAGGCTGTGTTGGCAAGAAGGAATTATGCGGGGTTCAATCGCACCTGAAGGAGCAAAGAGACTCATGGCTCGTGATAGCAACGGACGGCCTGTGTCCAACATTATTTTTATGTGCAATAGAGAAAGAGATAAATGATATAATTCGTAAATGAAAATTCGAATGCCACGTTCATAGATTCAGAAACTCGCTCGAAGGTAGGACCCAAGCGTTATATAAAAGAAATCCTTCATGCCTCGCTGCAACTGGTGGAGCCCATGATTTACTGAAATTTCATCGGAAAATTTGAGTCACAATGTCTGAAATCCCGCAACCATGCATAGCGTTGCAAGCTACTATGTTCGAGTCCCTTGAACAAACCAATAAAGTGGCTACTATAGTTCAGATTCTGAACGAGTGGGTCGGGGCCGGATCGGGGCCGGTGTTTAGGGTCAGTTGGCATCCGGCACCGGCCTGGGACCGGTTTGTTGACGGGCGATGCCGACATCTGGATCTCCGGCCATTGCACGTTTTTGATCGTTAGCGTGGGATTCCATGTGGATTGTGACCGATAGACATGGTTCTGCGGCCCAATTGTGGGATCATCGCTTGTTGCCCCTCCATCTCGTGGTCTGGCCCGCCGATACTATCCATATTGGACCAGCTCCTGCATGTCGGCTTTGTACAAGAACTTATTACTATATGAACGGTTTCGTAGCTATTTAATGGATCTTGGATATCATTATGCTATATGGGTATTCTTGTATCAAGGCAAAGAAGGCATCATAGGCAAAAAGTCAAAGATATCGTTCTGGCCTTCCTCGAAAAGGCCAAAAGAGTCTGCGATTGAGTTAGAGACCGTCCATGTAGGGGCATCCATCGTGTCAGGCAGCCTTGGTAGAGGAGGTCTGGTTGTTGCAGATGCATCGCCACCTGGCATTGGAACCATGTTTGTATCTTTGTCGCTTGAAATGGTCGTACTGGCTCTGTATCGAGGATCATCGAGTGGTGCCAAAGGCGGGGCATTCTGCATGGGACTGTCTGAACCCCTGTATGAAGGCACGGGCCCATCGCCTGGTTCGGACGTCTGAGTTGGCTCTCTACTGCCATTGCTCTGTCGATCATTGCTGAGCGGACGCTGACTAGCGATCAGAGCGCGAGCATAATTAACGAAGATGGAGACAGTGCGGTGGATATCGGGATATGGTGGTTGTTTCAGAAAATCACAAATCTTTTCCGCTCTTTCGAGAAGAAGATCTTGATCGATCAGATTGGGACGCCAACGAGCGATTCGAAGCGCGAAAGTGGCTAAGAATAGTCAGCTCCTACGTCGAGAAAAGCACGGCAATGAATGGTACCAACTTACTGACAAAGGCAACCGTCAATGCAGGATATGTGGGCGCCCATGGGAATTGGCAGCGATAGGCGGGCTCACCGATCAAGAATGCTAACTGATCCATGATTGTTGCAACTAGAGATTGCCATAGGCCCATGACATTTTGGTCGATTCTCTCCGACTCGAAATTGGACGAACCGGGTTCTAACTTTTGAATGCGCGCCAAAGAGGCACATAGTACAAAGATCCTTGCGTAGAGTAGCATGAGCTTCAGACTGCTTCGTTGGAAAGCTCCAGCATGGAAACCGTTGTCTTGTTTCGATGTTAGTCAAAGTTGCTTGGCTTTCATTGTGGCAGGTACCGAAGCTTACTATTGTGAATTTCATCCCATGTAGTCCACCAATTCTGTAGCTTCGTCATGATAGCTGGCAATTCTGTGGATACTATCTCTCGAACCGAACTCGAGTTATCAATAACTATGCGCGAATGGCCTTGCACAAAATTAGCCATTGAGCCGAGAATGGAATTAGTGATGCAAACCTCGAAGTTGATGAAGCTCGATAATACAAACTGTTCGCATATCACAGGGTAAAGAGAGAGGGTAGTCTAGAAATCTTCGTAATTTCATGACATCCACCTCGCCGATGCGTGATTTGCGGCCTGTCCCGGACGCAACGTCCAGTTCCAGCGTAAAACTAATGAGCCAAGTTCGTGTCTCCCATACTAACTGGCGCTCTTCCATTGAAGCGGAAAGTGAACTGCGAGGGAGGGTCTCCTGGGATAGCAATGTATCTAGCGATTTCTCCAGCCCTGAGTCCAAAGCAGTGCGCAAAATGAGCGCTGTGGAGAACCATGTTTTCTCCGAGTAAGCGGCGAGAAGGATCATTGCTTGCACGGTCTCCAGTTTGGTGGGGCGTTCGAAGAAGCTGTCTTCTGCCAGTCTCTGCGATTCGTCTTGCAAGACGCGCTGCATATGTGTATCGCCACGTAAGTCCATCACGGCTCGACTCGCGAGATAAATTATCACCGTGAAACAGAATAAGGAACGTGATCTTATAGAGTCAAATGTGTCACGTATTGGGTCAAACAGTGGTAGAAAGTTCTTGCTTCCGCCGACGAATCTGCCACGGGTGCGTTAGATTCTGCTTTGTTGTGTGTCCAGTTTGGTTAAGGCTTGATTTCTGTATTACCTTTCATACATCACTCTAGCATTTTCTTCACTAACGATACCACGGGCAATAACATCGCCTCTTCCATCGCCTTTAGCAGAGTTATCTAAAAAGATCTTTGACGTCGGTCAGTGGAGGCTTTTCATATCCGTCGACGGTTTGTTTGGACCCACATGGTTGTTGTCGAGGAGGTTCACGGACATAGAGTGAACTGCCGACGCCGGAGCAATCATGTCGTTAGGGCTTAATTGCTGCGATTCAGGCCCATGATGATCAGCCGTTTGAGACCTGCGCAAATCTCCAAAGGCCGATGAATCGGGTAAAGAATCAATCGATGCATCAAAGCTAGCATCACCTCCCGCGATTGGGGAGTATTCTTGCTCCCTCGATACAGGTGTCTGTAGCCCACTTCGCTGATCAAGTGGCGACGGCACTGCGGAGCCGCTATATCTAAACATGATTAGCTGCTTTCTAGAACGAGCCACAATGTAGTCGTAGTTAGGATGCTTACCGGGCAGGTGTCGCAGTCTTCCTCCGGCGGTCACTGCGCCTTCTGGCATCTTCAATAGGGTCGAGAATACAGTCGCGACCAGTCGAGCGGCAGCGAAAACATGGGACTTGTGTACGCGCATCACAGCGCATCTTCTGCCTGCGACACCACCGGCATGCTTTGAAGAAGCGGATCGGAATGTTCTCCGCCCGAAACACAATCTCCGAACCTCGCTCACTCATGATGGCTGCGATTAGTGCTCTCGGATATTTGATTCATTGGCTTAAATATGAGGACTATCACTGCTGGCATTCTCTCTGTTCCCCCGTCGGTGAACAGCTTCGGTGACTCTGGCGGTGTGAAGCTCGCTGGTCATCTCGGGATGAGCCGACCAGTCGGGTAATACTTCGCCGGTCACGTGCAATTTAAGGTATCTACCTCAAGTTCTCTCTCTTAATAGTTTCGTTTACATCATATGCATGTGTATCCGATACTAACTATCCCATCGTTAGTTTCACTGACTCGTATCCTTCATCAAAGCGTCACATCTAGGTAAGCAGTCCACACTGCTTCTTAGGCTGCGCCAGCAAGAACTGGATATCCTTCTCATGCGGGTGAAAAAGCTCCAGATACATGCAGATGGCTTGGCATTCTAATCTGGCCCGCCTGGCTACCCACCACAGAGAATCACTCATCGGCCCGTACCAATAAGCGAGAATGAGGAGCGCCCGAGGGTCTTTCTCGTGTAACAAGGACTTGAATACCGGATCCATAAAGCCTAGGAATTGCATATACCTCGTCATCGTGGCTTGGGTGCATTTCAGATGCCACAGTCGAGTCAACAGGGAGACGGCAGTGAAATATGGATTCTGCGTAGGTTCTGCCGTTCTGCCCAACTGACAGAGCTCGACAAAATCTTTCGGCATATCGTGCACTTCGCACAGTGCTGGCTTGGTCATAAGAGTACGATAGTCATCCCTCATCGCACGGAAGATACTATCCGGTCTCATTGGATCGGTTGCCTGCCATATTGCCTTTTTGCCGTGAGACATATCCATCCAGCCTAAATCTGACGACTCGGTGGATTTGAGAGGCCATGCTTCCCAGGGCGTAGAGGCTTCAATGTCGGCAATGCTCAAGAGTCCGAGGATGGCAGCGGCAGCCCAAAGGGCGTCGCGATCCTGAGGCCTAATCGGAGCTGAAAGCTTCCGATTCAGCAGTGCAGCACCTTGTGACCAGTGGTACGCCTCGGCAATAGAGCGCTTTGTGTGGTCTTTCGGCGAGGATAGAAAGCGGTCGTGTCTCGCAGTCAAAGTCAGAATGACATGCATCAGGAACGGGTTCTGTACGGAAACGTGGTCAGTATTGGCACTCACGATTGAAAGAGATTCTAGCAGGAACGAAAGTCTATAACTCACTTCGATGGCGATACTGGTCACATGGTTTTGGTAGACTGTGTAGTTGTGATTGCCAGCAAATGTGTAGACCGTACGCCGGAGGAACCGATCTAAGCGACCGATACTCTTTGAGTCCAATTGGAAGGACCCTGGGCCAGATCCTATTACCGTCGCCGGGCGCAGCAATATTGATTGAGGTCGGGGTTTTACATTGAAAATGACTTCACCAAATGAGCCTTCCGGATGAGCCCTGCTGGTTTTATCAAGCGATTTCGGCTGCAGATCTTGGCTATGGGAGGTGTTGTAATTGCAAACGACGCCAAACGCTAAGCACTTTTGGCATTGAGGATGTCTTTCATCGCACTTCAAAGAGCGTTAGCCTAGGGATCCAGAGCGAAGCCAAGTTTTGCCGATGGACGAGTCTCACTTTGACACGACGGAGTTTGCAGTTCCGACATCCTCGACGCGATTTAGTGTGCGCTCGGCGTCTCCGAGCACCATTTTCATCTGGACCTAGCCTGTTCGAACCCATTTTTCACATCATCGGTTTAGAGAAATGTTCACTGAACAAGATGAGAGGAACAAAGGGAATGTCATGACGGGGTTGAGGCGGACCCACTGCTTAACTCCGGAGGTTGGCCCGAGAGTGTCTCATTGGCTGCCCTCAGAATCGCGCTAACCCTCCGTCGTATATCGGCGGCCCGGGGCGTTCGATCGGGCTTGGATCTTGCTTGGTTCGTCTTGGAAGATCCCCAGGCCTGTGATATGCGATACGGCGATTGCCTCGGATCGTATATTCGGTTCAACTAATGTCCCACAAGAACGGAACCGGCTGGAATCATGGAACTTGATTCTTTATGTCCGTCGGGATTTAGCATCGATCAATCCCACTCATCACAATTATATAATGACCCAATTCGCACATTCGATGAAGGTCTTCATTCCATTCATCCAAACTGATCTTTTGAAATAACTCTAATAGCATCACCACTACCTTCAAGATGCGCGTCTTTGTCACTGGTGCAACCGGCTTCATCGGCCAAGCCGTTGTCCAGGAGCTTCTCGATGCCGGCCACACCGTTGTCGGCCTAGCTCGTTCAGAGGCATCGGCGGCCGCCCTAGAGGCCAAGGGTGTTGATGTAATCCAAGGCTCTCTGGAAGATGTCGAGGCCGTCAAGAAGGGTGCCTCCGAGTCAGACGGTGTCATCAATCTCGCTTTCAATCACGACTTCACCAAATTCGCGGAGAATGCCAAGATCGAGCATGCGGCTATCACGGCCATGGGCGAAGTCCTGGCTGAATCGAATCGCCCCATTGTGCTTGCATCCGGCACTATGATGCTGCCCAAGGGCGAGCTTGTTACTGAGGATACGGGCCCCGACTTGAACTCCCCCGTGAATGTTCGCGCAGCGACTGAACAAAAGGTGACCACGCTTGCGGCTCGAGGTGTACGCGCCTCTGCCGTTCGCCTTGCTCCCACAGTCCATGGAGACAACGATCACGGGTTCATTTACTTGATTACTCAAGTGGCGCGCGCCAAAGGTGAATCGATCTACATTGGCGAGGGGCTTAACCGATGGCCTGCCGTTCATCGCCACGATGCTGCACGCCTCTTCCGCCTCGCACTCGAAAAGGGCGTGGCAGGCACTAGGTATCACGCGGTGGGCGAGGAAGGTCTGAAAATGAAGGATATTGCGGAGGCCATTGGCAAATCGGCCGGGATTCCAACTTCGTCCAAGACGTCCGAGCAGGCTGCCGCACACTTTGATGGTGGCTTCATGGGATTTGTTGTCGGTGCTGACAATCCATCGTCTAGCAAGAAGACTCAGGAGCAGCTTGGCTGGAGCCCTACTGGGCCGACCTTGCTCACTGATATTAACGCCGGGGTGTACACTCGAGAAAAATTGATTAGCCCCATCTCTGTCTGATGAGAGCTCTTCAGGGGAGTGCTTTGTTCCTATTGATGAGCCCCAATGATTCTCTTTTAGTCTCTAGAAATTCTTGCGGATAATAATACTCGTATCTATGGCATTATTGAGACTTCCCTACCCACTACCGTAATCTTGGTAATTGTCAAACTGCCGCCTCGGGAAGTTTATCGGTTTGCGGAACGATGAGACGGAGCACTCCGTCGCCCTAGGTACCGGATTTCCTATGCCACGTCTTGGCTTTCTCCTTCCGGATTAGGGCTCAGACATTCTAACTAAACTCAGCTCGGGGTATTTGCCTAATCCCCTCTTCTCCTATCTTAATTATGATTAATAGGTCTAGAGGGGGCAGATACACTAACTAGTATATTATAGATGCTACCTTAGCTAGGCTAGTACGAGCGAGGGTACTTCTAGGCTCTATGCTAGCGACTGGCCTGCCTAGATTTATAAGTCTAATAGCCGGATCAAGTAATAGAGAGGCTTAATCTATAGAGCACGGTGGCTAATTAACCGTACTCTCTGCGACGCGAACCCTTTACTATTACTAGACCTAGCCTATCTTTCACCTAACCGGGTTTATACTTCTGTCACACGTAATACTTGTCAGCAGCTTGCCTGTCTAAGGTGCATTTTTACCGCTAATGCAGTGCAGTACTTAGAGGTCACATCTATCATTACGATCGGGTCATATCAGGTTCGAGCTGGTTGCGGTCTATCGGAGCCTGTGTGGTTAGTCATCATATTCTCCAGACACTTGGCTTATTAAGACTATGATATTTCACTCACGCTAATAGTTACATAGCATCAGACCGCTATCTATTATAGACGTGCAGATACGATATTGTCGTTGATGCTGAGTCCGTTTTAGCGGTAGTAGTGATGCTCTTGGCTTTTTAACATCAGTAGTATCGTACGCGCCTCGACTTATGTTAGAAGTGTGAATGGGTAAGATTATATCAATCAAAAATTAGTAAGGATTGAATAATAGGTGGGATATTTCTTAGAGGGCGGTGCTTTTGAGATAGTAGTAGAGGTGACATAAGACTATTTAAGTTACTAATATTTTGTCGCTAGTCTAGTTAGGGTCCTTCTTAAAACACTATAATCTCGACTAGATATAGCAAGTACTATTAACGATATGATACACCTACTATAGGAATATATGGAAATACTAGACCGGAATTATACCTATACTTTAGGAACGAGATCGGCCTTAACAGCTACGGATACGAGGGGGCGGCGGAAGAGAACTAATTACGGCAGTATGTCTGTTCTTCTGTTCTCGACGTTACTTCAATTTAGTTCGAAACACTAATGCTAGGCAATAAATAGCATAATTATCTTTAAGTATTTTAACTGTTTAGTCAAAATAGAACTAAAAACCAGGTCTAGACACGGAGTCCACGCATGTTATGGCCTATACCGATACTTAGGGTGCATCTTCATTATAGTTCGTTTAATTACTAGGAAAATTAATAAGACAAACTCCTTAAATTAGAGATTCTAAGTGGTGATGTGAGTCATATAAGGACTCGGGAACGTAAAGCCTAGTCTAATCCCGTAGCGCTTCAGGTTACCGGGAGCTAGTAGTAAAACATGCCCTAAGTTATGCTCTCTATTATTCCCTTTAGATAAAATCGACCAGTTCTCGGAAGCTTAGTCGATGGTCCACAACTAAAGGCAACTAAGAAGATAAAACGTGGGAATAAAATGAATTCCCACTAAGCAGTAAAGTGGGACATTAATTTAATTAAAGAATATTATAAGGAGTATACTTAAGTGACCGGACCTCGTGATGTAGATAATGACGGTATAGGGGTATAATATATAAATAAAATAGGGGCGGATAGAGTATCTATGAGGTGATCGCTCCAATGCTTGCTTCAGTCCTATTTTGACTAGCGCGGATTTTCGTGGACAATTCGTGAGGTATGATTTTCCAGGAGAGGTAGGGTGATATTAAATCCGCTAATATTGTGAAGGTCGGCTAATTTCTCGCTTAGAGGTTCATCCTCGGTAGGCTATCTGACTAGAACCCAGCCTTGCCTTCTTTTATGCTCTTGAAGCACATAGACAGGGAAAGGAGTTATGGTTTCGTGTGCGGTATGAAAGTCGTAGGCAGAGTTATTAATGTCAATGATGATGAAGGTGCGCTCGCTCTATATGTCAATTGCGAGGAAAAGTATTTGAGGGTTGTTGGGCTAGTCCGGAAACACCTGGCTAACGATGTTGTACGCGGAAGTACGGTAGTCTTCAGGGTTCGTAGTTTTCGTTTTCACTTTGATGATAATCCGCTTCGTGATATCATCTCTAAAAATCTCGTTCCGTATGTTGGAGGAGGTAGTCTTATTAAACAAGAAAGCGTGAGTTTGGCACTCACTTCGAGAATAGTCTCTCAAGGAAGGTGGATTACTGGCAAAGGGTTTGACCGAACGAGCTCAAAAGTTGTTGAGAGAAAAGATGAGTTACCCCTTGCGCTTTAAATCTCGTGTAACCACGGCAGGAAAGAAGCGGTAACTTTCTGCCATCACAACAATAATACTTACCAGTCAGAATACCTCAAACGCATGGGATCTCCTTGTCGAGGGCAAAAGCCACAACCAATCTTGCGAGCGGCGTAAATTCTCTCGAAGATTTTCTATGCCTATGAACCCTTATTAGTGCTGCGATTATAATCTGCATAGGGATATATAAAGGGCTTTGTGCCGTCGTTGTCCTTCTTGTCGACCTCGCACTAGTGGCGGAAGAGGATACTAGAATATGTAAAGACCTGAACCTTATCGTAACTAGATTCGTAGCACTTATAAGGCCGCTTGTGTCTATCTATATGTTTGCTAATAATAGCGAGTTAGTATAGAGAAAATCTAGCGATAACCGCGTTAGAAGTGAATTGAACTGACTTAATTCTATTTACAAGGCCGACGGAAGGTAGGCGGCATAGCCTGATAGTTGGTGTGGTCGCAATCGATTGGGTTTTCGGCGAGCGCGCGCACGCGACGATTAGAGAGGCGTGGCGTGAACTTTCCATATCACTAGAACTAAGCGTAGTAATTTGTTCGTTCATGCTAGTAATAAAAGATAGAGATTCCGTTACTGAGACGAGGGTAGTGGCAATAGTAAATCACACGCGCAGCTTCACTTTGCAGACCGCAAAAAGGGGATATGGATTTTGAAGCAGAAGTAATTGCTGAAAATTAGGAATGAGAAGATATAAATAAAATTAAACGAAGTCGAGGGAATAGGGAGCTAAAGGTGAAGATTAAGGGGGATACAGCATACTCTAAGATTTCTACACTTTTATTACGCCGGTAACTATGCCTCTACAAGTAGTCTCGTCTACATCCCGGATTTACCTTCTTGATTGGGAGGGGTACGTTTCACTAGATGTGACTTTAAGGATCATCTGCCCCTCTTTTAGGTAGAGCCTTAGTAACTCGCTTACCTGATCGTCGTAGCTTGGTAAGTTAAAGAGTCTATAGAGCTGGATAACCATATAAAAGCATAAGGAGGCACCTAAGTAGGTCCCTGAGTAACATGATCGCTCACCTTGATGCTCGGGCAGATCGTCCTATTCGATCTGGTTTCTTCTATGCTCCGGCGATAACGGCGCTGGCGTCAGTGTACGAATTATTGCCAGCCATACTGTTGGCGTTTCGTCTAAGTTTGTATGTGTGTACAGAGTACGATTTCCAACCATTAAGTACAAGGTTTCCTGGTCAATCGGCAACTAATATTCATCCTGACTAATGAGTGTTTCTGACTCTCGGATTTCGCGATAATATCTCTCCAAATCACTACCGTAATGACCTTTCTGCCGGGTGAAATAATGCCTATTGCCCCCTCAAGCAATCAAGATATCGCGTAGACCGCTTCCGGTCGACGCTGACGTTGATCAGCCGTATGACCAAGTGTCGGATTCGCCCGTTGCTACAAAGGGCTCTTAGTAATTATTTCAGTGTCTTTAGTGTCTTTAGAGCAGCTCGATGAATGGATATCTACCTTGTGGCCCTTCTCTGTAGCGCAGGGATCACAGTACATCTTGGTCACCCGGGTAGGGTCTTGAACGTGGCCATGGCTAAAATAGAGGGAGTTTGTCGCTGTAAAGATGCGAGGTGAAGTTGTAGAACAGATCTTTTTGAACTGGCCTCGTCAAAATTCTGAGTCCAATCGCTCATCCTTGTATTCTTGGGACCTCGGACTTTGTGGTGGATAAATGTTGTTTTCAGACACTACACTACAGTATAGTCCATTCGGGCCAATCATCTTGTTCCGCCGCCAATCGCCATTATCTCCGTGGTATGAGCACCTAGAGTTTCAGGCTATAATTAGCTTTTCTACAGCAGAAAACAGCGAACATTAGAGTAGAATTCGGTGGTACAATATACATGAGTGATCTAAAACGCAGCACTACTCAACCTGAAGGTCTAACACCTGGTCGTTTCTATGGATACTAAAAGAAAGGGTTGTCAATACGACATCAGCAGCATTCTATTTCCTCTATTTTTCAAATTCGAATTTGAACATTCATATCTTAGTCTGCTGGGTCTATATGTTGATCCCAGATTCAATAGCCTTGATCTGTAGCGCTAGAAACTTGGAGTATATCCGGCACAAGGCAAGGTTGCCGCCAAAATACCAGAATCCTGGATGCCCGCTTGGGCGCCACATCTATAACCATCATTAGCATTCCAGGGCCCAGCACAAGGCCGAACACATCAAAATGGACTTACAGCACGGAGTTCCCCCTCGTGATCCAGATCCCATACATCCAAGCACCGGTCTGCAATCTTATCACCCAGTACCTTCCGCACCGTCGTCCGCATGTTATCATATCCAGTCGCGAGAATAACAACATCAGCAGGCAAGTCAGTACCGTCGGCAAGCTTCAATCCATGCGGGCCAAAGCCTGTGATCCCCTGTGGGCAGTGCTTCATCTTGATTTTACCATCGATAATCAGCGAACTGCAGCCAACATCGATGTAATAACCGCCGCCACGCGTGTAGTATGCTCGGGCGATACCAGCCCCGTCGGGTCCAAAATCTAATTGGAAGCCCGCACGGCGCAGGCCATTCAATGTTTCTTTCTCGGCGTCTGCAATGCGACGGGTCATATCCACGCTTAATGCAAATTGAACCGGGAATGGCAAGCTCTCAGAGACTATGTCAGCCTCTTCTGTGGGCGGGCCTCCGTCCTCGTGAAGCCCCTTGTGCATCATAAAAACACCCTTATCGGCAGTGATCACGTATGTACCGCTGCGTTGGAACATACTTACGTCTGCGCCATTCTCGTAGTAATTCTGAGCAATGTCGTGACCACTGTTACCGGTGCCGACGACCACAACCTTCTTTCCTCTAACGTTATATTCGGACGCATCGGTGTGCTGGCTCCCATGATACAATGTGCCTTGGAATGAATCTTGTCCCGGAAAGCTTGGAATGCGTGCCTCACCGGAGTGACCCGTACACCAAATGACATGACGAGGCCGCAGTATGCGCTGGGAACCGTCCCCACGGGTCACATTTACCGTCCACTGGGCAGTAGAATCATTGTAGTCGGCCGAAATGACAGAAGTCTTCATCCAAACATTGAGTTCCATGATAGTGGCATAGGCTTCAAACCAGTCACCTAGCTTGTCTTTGGGAGTGAATTGGGGCCAATTTTGTGGGAAGGGGAGATAGGCCATGTGGGTGAATTCGACAGGGTCATGAGTGACGAGTGTCTAGAGAATATACCGATCAGCATCAAGATATAATTGAGGCTATTGATAGCTTTGAAACAATCATTGCTACTTACGCGATATCGCTTGCGCCAATTGTCACCAATCCGCTCATGCTTATCAACAAGCAGACAAGACAACCCCAGATTCTGTAGACGAGCACCCATGTTCAGACCAGCTTGGCCTGCAGGGACCGGGTTAGTATCACATATGACTACCGCTATCTCACTGCAAGCAAAATAACTCACCAGCACCAACAACCAAGACCATTGGTTCTGCATCCAAGAACTCCTTCTGCCTCTCCCTCCGCTCAATCCACGTCCCACCCGCAAGCCCACCAGGCATACTCTCCGTCGTCCCTTGGGGCCTTTTCTTCCCCAAGGACTCCTCACTCCCATTCAACTCCTGCAAAGAGGTATACATCGCATACGCTTTCCAGCAGCCATCGTCTCCCTGCGTAAGCCTCACCATCCCGGTACCACTACCAAAAGCGGTCTTGAAAAAGAACATGCTGGAAACCCAGCTCAACCCTTCAACTGCCTGTTCCCAGTGTGGCTGAAAATTTCCTTGTTCTTGAAGTCGAAAGCTTGACAGTCGAGCCTTGCTCTGGTGAGCGCCAATGAACTCGGAGATTTCAGCTGCGCGGTGCAAAGTGCGCATATCCCAGTCCAAGGCCAGCATGTCTCGCCACCATGATTCTTCGTGGAAAAGCGAGCCAATTTGAAGTGTTGCTGGCTTTGACAGTGCACTCTCTAGAGCTACAAGCCACTGTTGGATCACTGCTCGAGAATCTGGTGGTGCACTGATAGTTGTTTTAGGGAGACTGATAATATGCGGGTTCCCACCCGTCAGCGTTGTGGCCATTTAGATAAAAAGTCGCGTCAACTCTGCAAGAGAAAAATGCAAAATGTACAAGATGTTGCAGGTTTCTTCAATCCCTATATTTTCGGAGAGCACGAGTCCCTATAAATAACATTTTTCTCCCCTCATAGTAAAAGTCACATTGAAGGGACATTATTCAGCCAAGTTGGTAGGAGGAGGGGCAACGTGGGGAAACATAAGAGTCAGAAGACCCCAAATGACTGCAGAAGCTCATCATCAGCCAACTTTCCAGCGGTTAATTCGGGTGATTTTATGCCGTGGGGAAAGAGGTCGGCTTGAACTCCGAGTTGAAGGCGGGGGAAAGTCTGCCGAGAGTTATCGCTCACTCAATTAGGAAAATCTCACGGTCGCTCGCTTGTTGTTTTCCCTTTCTGAAAAAGTTCTCGTTCTCATCCTTTGGGCGACTAGTACTCCATCTTAAATTCCACGATTGGTAGTTTCAGGCACTTTTGCCGCTTTAGGGTTCCCGAGTGTGCGTGGAGGTGTCCGTACTAGGAAGTTATATCACGGTCCCGAGCCCTTGGGAGCAAGACCCAGCCATGCGCATAAGGACCAGGAGCACTAAATCAGTAACGCCCATCGTAGACACCTAGGTGGCCAGCTACGGTAGGTAGGACGGTCGTCATCATTGCCTAGAGGCGAATCAGCGGGGCAAGTTATAAAAGGCCCCTTCATCGGCGATTATAGTAATAAGGTCTTCGGCGTCCACCTCTAAAATATAATCGATAATTCTATACTCTACGAGCGAGTCAAATCTCATTCTACTTCTATTGATTAAATTTTAGCGCCAGTGCCTTGGTAGTGGGTCCGGAAGAAAGAAAAGTGGTCTTCAGGGAGGAAGCAGATTTCGCCAGTGACTATATCGAAGGAACGGTAGCACTACCGCACAAAGAAACCTCTAAATGCCGCGCAGTCACAAACGAGAGCCCTACCCAGCAATTCACCACCGAACCGAGCGTAAGAGATCTCTATGCCATAAAGAAGCTGCTTGAACCTACAGAAAGTGAAGGTATCTACAGGACAGAGGCTTCACCTCGGCCTACAAGGATGCAGGCCGTCGAGGAGGGACGTAATATTACGACATTCTCAGGCCGGCCCTCGAAGGACTGCACATATAGTCTCTATGGCTCAACGTACCGCCTAGCAAGCGCTGGATTAGAAGCTTAGCATTTAGTTTACCCATACAATCAAGTCATTGGTTTCCTTCACTCAGTTCATCCAAACCCCATCAGGCCTAGTCATAGCCAGGTCCTAACTTAACGGGCGGCACCCAACCGGTGCTACGACAGAAAAGGAAGTCCAATAATAAATGAATTTGCCCACTCCAAGCATAATAAGATGCGCTGGTAGTGTAACGGTTATCATTCGACCCTTCCAAGGTCGAGATCGGGGTTCGACTCCCCGCCAGCGCAAACAATTTATTTTTTGTCTCGCTGAGAAGCCTAACTTATTGACCAATAGAGGGGTCAAACGGCAGAAAATAGTTTGGTTAGTTAGGTATTGAATATCCTCCTACCATCATGATGTTCTCTACTAAATTATATGTTACACTCTTTGCGGAGGCGGCCATTAGTGTGAAGGGCTGAAGCAAGACTTGATTCAATCTAACTAGGCCAACATGCTGTTTACAAAAAGCTTAAGGAGGGGAAGTTTATCCTGCGCGTTCTCCACGTCAATATGCCAAGGTCTCGTGATACACGTGACCTATATCGGGCACTGGCCCGTGACAATACCCCCCTCCTAGTCTTAATCTCATCAGGGGCACGACGGCATGGGCTTCGGTGCCGATTTGCTGGCGAATCACCTCCGAAACGGTGCCGTGCTGCTCCTCAAAGGTATCTAAGGCGCTGCAATCCCGCACTGAATCTAGCGTTTCCCACGTTTGCTCAGCCCATCCTCTCCATTTCACCAGCGCTTCGTCACGATATCCTCGTCCGATCTTCCTCCGTCGTATAGCTAGGATCTGCTCGACTTCGTATTCCTCTTCTCCGTCAACTAGTAGTGGTGGTGGCTGCGAATCGTCTACTAGCTGAGATGGGAACGGGTCCGTTGCTGCCGGACGAACTAGTTCAATATGGAACACTGGGTGTATGCCAGTAGGCACATTGAGTCGGACGGTAAACGGTGACGGAACGTCTACTACTCGGTATCGAGCATGTAGCCAATCCAACTTCTTTGACGGTCGTCGTGTGCGTATGTTCCGAAGGTTTAGCCAAACCCAATCATCCTTTTTATAGACAGGCGCAGCCTGTCGACGTCGGTTCGCTTGCTCCTCTTGAAGGGCCTGTGCGGAAGCGATAGCGGCCTGGGCCCAATCGGTGGCTTCTCGTAGGCGATTCACGAACGTTTCGCCTGCCTTTCGTGGTGGGGTCAGGGCGCCTTCTAGCTGCCCTGCTTCGTCAATGCCAATCGGGTCAACGTGGTAACCGTGGGTGAAGAAGAATGGCGAGATTCCAGTTGAAGCGGCATCGCGATTATTAATCGCCACGGCGACTATTGGTAGTAGATCCTTCCAGTTATCCTGTGAGTACGTAGTGAACAAACGTAGAATTCGTTCGATCTCCTGATTGGCACGCTCTGTTGCACCGTCGGTCTGGGGGTGAAATGCCGTGGATAATCGGCGTTGAATCGATAGCCTTTCGCATACCCTTTCCCAGAAAGAACTCACGAATTGGGGGCCGCGGTCGCTTACAATCGCTAGTGGCACCCCATGATGCATATAGAAGTGTGTGAAGAACACCTCTGCTACATCTTCTGCCGTCGTATTCTTCATTCCGATCAGAATCACGCCCTTCGTTAACCGATCTGTTATCACCATGCAGTTCGTTGCCCCCGTAGGTCTGGAGGGTGGCAGTCCGGTGATAAAGTCCACTGATATTTCGGCCCAGATTCGCTGAGGAATAGGTAGGGGTTTCAATAGCCCATGCTTTGTGTCTCGCCATACTGAGCTCCGTCCGCAGATTGTACAATTCCGAAGGAAGCGTCGTACATCCTTCGCTGCTCCTGGCCAGAAGAACCGTCGAGACAGTATCGAATAGGTAGCGTCTCGCCCAGGATGCGCCGTGACGTGTGAATCGTGGATCTTTTGTATGATCCCTGTGCGTAGAACCTCGTTATCAGGAATCCAGATTCGTTGTCTGAAATGAAGCACTCCTCGATCGTCCAAGTGGCACTCTGATAGGCTTGTCTTAATGTCTGTCTCGGCAGCGATTCGGCGCTCTCCCGTTAGCAAAGCGTGGGAGATTCGTTGGTAGATCGAGTCAGACGCCCTTGCCCTTTTCCATTCTGCCTGGAGTTCCTCTTCTTCGAAGAGGGGAATATCCCTTTCAAAGTCGATCGCTTCGTTTGATTGGTGGTCGGCTGGTTGAGGGTCTAACCGTCCTATTTTGATCTTGACCTTTTTGAGCAGGACTCGGAAGCGATTCGATAGCCTTTCGTCGGTGATGCTCTGTGGCATATCCTGGCTCCGTCGTGATAGTGCGTCCGGCCTCACTGCAAGCTTACCAGGGCGATAGCGGAGGTCAAAATCGAACTCTGTTAAGAGATCCGCCCAGCGCATCTGCCGTTCATTCAGATGTTGTGCTTTACCAAAGTATCGGAGGTTCTTATGGTCCGTCACGATAGTGAATCGAGGCACCATTTTCAGCTCAGGTCTCCATTCGCGTAGGGCACGTATAATCGCTAGAAGCTCCTTATCGTGGATCTCGTAGTTTGATTCTGCTGGAGATAGCTTCTGGGAGAGATAGGCGCATGGCCGTAGTTGCCTATCAGGCCCGTATTGCGATAGGACCGCCCCAGTAGCCCAGCCAGAAGCGTCAGTTTCCACGACTGTTTGACGATCCTCCTCGAAATGAGCTAGGATCGGTGCGTTTATAAAGAGTTCCTTTAGTTCCACGAAGGCCTGTTGGCAATTATCGTCCCATTCGAAGATAGCGTCTTTCTTCATAAGCCGTGTTAAGGGTGCCGAAAGGTCGGCGAATCGGGGGATAAACGGCCGGTAGAAGTTCGCAAAACCAATAAAGCTTCGCACATCTCGTATAGACTTCGGTCTCTCCCATGCCCTAATAGCCTCTACCTTCTTTGGGTCAACATGGATCCCCTTCCCGGCTTCGACAATAAAGCCAAGGTATTTCACCGATTTCTGCTCAAACTCTGACTTCGCGATGTCACATTGCAGACCCGCGTCTATTAGTTTCTGTAGAACATCGCCGACCTTTCGGCGGTGATCCGCTAGCGTTCCGTTAGAGTAGATTATTATGTCGTCGACGTATGCCGACACAAAATCATCGAGGTACTCTCGTAGCGTCTGGTTGATATACCTCTGGAACGTTGCCGGTGCGCCAGTTAGCCCAAATGGAGTCACGTTCCACTCGTAGAGCCCGTATCGCGTCCGAAATGCTGTCTTCCATTCTTCTCCAGGGTGAATACGGATCTTATGAAAGGCCGCGATGATATCGAGCTTTGTGAACCAGCGGGCGTGGCCCATGTTCCGTAACGTTTCTCGAATCAGCGGTAGAGGGTAGCGATCCTTCACTGTCCGTTCGTTCAATCCTCGGTAATCGACACAGAATCGTACGCCTCCACCTGGCTTCCTCACTAGCAAGATTGGTGCTGCTGCGGGCGATTGGCTCACACGTATGAAGTTCTTCCCAAGTAGGTCCGTCAACGTCTTCCGTAGGTAAAGAAGTTCTTCCTTGTTCATGCCGTAGAGAGGACCATATGGTGGTGGCTCTTCGACGCCGTTTCGGTCGCGTTTCAAGGGGATCTTATGATCGACCCCTGGTCGGTGTGGTGGTAGCTGATCAGCAAGCTGCTGGCTGAAAGCCGCTATCCATCGCCAGTAGTGTTTTGGTAGCTTATCCTTTGGATCGATGTGCTTCTTAGGACGGAGTGCTCTCTCGATGTCGTCTAGCGAGACCCTACCGATTCGCAAGCGATTCACATCCGATACGCTCTGCATAAGTTGCTGGATAGATGGTGCCTCCGCTTGGGTAACACGTAGTGCCTTTACCCTAATAGGCCTAATAGTGCGATCTACACGATTCCAACACCTCGTCCGCTCCCCAGACTTTGTGAAGATGTCCAGGTATCCTTTCCTTGCTGAGTATCGCCCTTTCACGTCATGTAACCATGGGTCTCCGAGTATCATACTGTCGCTTTGTGGTCCGATAATATAGGCGAACACACGGCCCTGTTGATGGCCGTGGATATCGAGGTCGAAGTAGGTGGCGTGGGTGATTCGGTACTGATTTGGCACGACTCTGTCGAGGATTCGTGGCTGTATCTTAATGCGCGGGAGGTCGAGCAACTGGACTAAGGACTCGTTTACTGTTGCATAACAGCGGCAGCCGCTGTCGACAAGAGCTTATGTAAATTGAATTCCATTCACTCTAGCATCGACTATAAACGGCGGTGTCTCACGTTCCAGTAGCTTTTCGACCCCCTTTCGCTCCTGCTCGCGGCTGAGAACAGGAGCTACTCTTTTCCCGATCCATCCTCGGTAGTCATATCTTCGTCGCCAGAGGCTGTTGTGACGGAATCTTCGTCGCTCACAGGCTTCGATTTCTTCACTTTGACCGTACGCTCCTTTCCCTTCTTGCTCGAAGCGGACGCAATTCGTGCACTACCCGGCCGTTGTGCTGGCAGTAGCGCGTACGTCCCGATAAAGTGGCCGATCTTTCCACATCGTAGGCACTTCCCATCGGCCCGCCGCTGCTCTAGTACGTCCTGGCTAACCCATTGAGCCTGCCTCGGCGCTCCAGTCCTAGATCGGTGGTGTTTCGTGTGGGTTTCGGTTCGGTTTACCGACACAGTAGGCGTCCAATCCATTTCGTCGTCGTTCTGTCTAGGCGAACGCGGCCGACGCGGCCGTTCTGCCTTAGTGATATTAAGGGCATCCATATCGGAGCTTATCTCGTGTAGCCGAGAGATCAGGTCCGAAAAGGTGGCGGGAATGCCCCGATTCATCAACGAATTCGTCATTGTCTTATTAAGTGCTCCGAGGAGAATCTGTCGCTTGGCCTCGTCATGCCATTCGAGAGCGTCGGCATCAGCGAATTCCTTTTCTAGCCGTGGTAGGAACCTAGAAAAGCTCATATCTTCCGGTTGCCGAATCTGGTGGAGTCGCCTAGCTGCGCGTGCTTTGACATTCGGGTCTCCATAGATATTCTCGAGGTAGTCGAGTAAGGCCTGTGGTTCGCCAGTGTCTCGGCGGAGTTTCACAAAGGTTCCGGTGTTCTTCCATGCAAGCTTCTCTAGTCTAGAGAAGACATATATGAATTGGTCCTGAGGAGAACCAATAGCTTCGCCGTCTACACTAAGCTTGTTCTCAATCGAAATTCGCCAGGTTGGCCAGTCGCTCGTGCTTCCACCGAATGGCTTTGGGTCCGGGAGACGGGGCTTCGGTCGGTGAATAATCTCTGTTCGTGGAGGAATCGGCACCGGTTCGGTAGCCGATCGGGCTGGTGTCGCCTGTCCTTCGTTCATCGTGGTTGTCGTCGTGGCCAGTGAGGCTTGGCGCTCTAACATTGCTTCGAGACGACGCATCCGTTCTTCTTGTGCAGCTTCCTGTTGGTAGTGCCGCTCTCGTTCTTCGTTCTGCATAGCCTGGGTCTGTGCTAACTGCTGCAATAGCGTCTGCGCCCACCCAGGAGGGCTCGTCGATTCCTGGTGCTGCATAGCTGCCAGGGGTTATGTAGCGTGCCGGTAATGTGTCGGTCGCTTTTCGTCCAATGTTCTAATATGCCTAGGAATTGCGATCTCCTAAGGCTTTCCAATACGTCTCGAGCGCTAAGAGTTTTATGCGCGAGGATTCCGTTCCAATCGCTGTTCGTCACTGAATCACTAGAGATTCAGGGGGCTTTCCAATGAGTGCCTAGGTCGCTTTCCTAGGGCTTTTCCAATAACCAATGATACTTCTAAGTGTAGAAGGAAGCTTTTTGTATGTGAAGGGCTGAAGCAAGACTTGATTCAATCTAACTAGGCCAACATGCTGTTTACAAAAAGCTTAAGGAGGGGAAGTTTATCCTGCGCGTTCTCCACGTCAATATGCCAAGGTCTCGTGATACACGTGACCTATATCGGGCACTGGCCCGTGACAATTAGGTAGGAAAGCATTTTGTCCAGCCTCTGCACCAGAAACACAACAACGACCAGTGATACTAATTAAATTACTTCTACTTGAAACAAAATAATGACCATGTCTTCTGTAGAGCCTCAGATATTATTTTGTTGGACATCTGTGCTTTGACCAGCAAATCACATGATCTTTCAAGCCAAAAAAACCGAACGTTGCGCTGGCGGGGAGTCGAACCCCGATCTCGACCTTGGAAGGGTCGAATGATAACCGTTACACTACCAGCGCTTTTTGATGTAAGAGCAGTCTCAAATCAAATTCATAGACAAATGTGGAGTTTGACCAATAAGTACACAGGCCCCTTCGACCCACAGAAAAGAAACCGGATCAAAGTTTTCGAGACAGCAGACTAAAGAGATTATAACAGTATCATAGTTTATCTCCTTCTCCAGGCGCATTACCAACAGTATTGCTATAAGTACACCCATGCTAGATCGACACTTCATATTGTAAGTGCCCAATTACATCCAGCTTAGCGTGATAGTTGTAGGGTGACATTGAGGGGCCCGACAGAAAAGTTCATGGCACGACGAGGCTATTCCTAATGAGGAAACCCCCCCCTCCCCTTTCAATAGAAAATGCTACATTCAAACTTCACAAAATACACCCCTATCAGTAGGTTTGAGGACAAACCACTTTATCTCCTAAATTTTATATGGCAAGGATTATTTTTGAAGGTTAGATCTTATAGATAATTAGGAAACAACTGACCTTTACACATAAACATTTTGAATACAAAATTTCTGTGAAGAGAAACTCGGCTTAGAATATGTAGTAATTGCGAGCGGATGTATATTTATTTTAGAGGCCCTATATAAAAGATACCCAAAAAATTAGTAGAATCCGAGTCTACCTTTCTGATCACGTATATTATCACTAGAAAACTTTTAGAATTCTTAAGAAAGATATAATAGAAAAAACATATCTTAAAGATATCTGCTATATCAGAAAATAGGTCGTATCACTCATAATCAATTAGGACCAATAGCCTTCAGATTACTTGGTAAAGTTTTCGAAAATTCGCTATTAGAACATCTCTACGCTCTCAAGACGACGGATTTTAGCTTCGAAAAATATTACTAAGACAGAAAGAGCTATAAATATATACTAGAAAGTTGTTTGAGTACATAATTATCGGTCGCTGTTTAGTAATTGTCGATTGAAAGGGCGGGGATTTGAAGTGTCCTCAAACTTTCCGCACCCTTTGTGTTAACAATATACTACTTGCAGGGTAGAAAGCCTATCAACTAGGTAGGAGAGCAAAGCACCAAGTCCAATTGTGTTTGAAACTGTTTCTTAAGGAATTGACTGATGGCAACTTGGTTGCCAGCGCAAGGAAGCAGAAAGCAGGGAAACAGTTAGGTTGTGATCTAACTAGAGAACTGTAAGGAAAGGGAAACAGGAAAGGGCCTATAGGTCGACCAAAGAACTGGTCCTGGAGACATCCGGCATCTCCTGCAACAAGGAGAAGGAAACAGCCGGCAACAACCTCGAGGAGATAAACGGCAGCAGACTCGATGCAATACTCGATGCATAAGCACTCGATCCCTCGATCAAGCATGGCGAAAGGTCACCGCATGGCCAATGCATGGCACATACTGTGGGCGTGGGCTGCATCCAGTGCTCCGTCCGTCACTCCCCCAGACCAAAAGTCGAATCTCCTGTAAAGTCATTGGGTTATGGGGCCATGGCACTACTTCTCATCTATTAGTGAATGAAGCAATTGCTGGGCTCGGTAGATTTAACGGCCGGCCGGGAGGGATGAAGTGGCCGTGAGCTCAGTGCCCACCAGAGAGCGCACCAGCGGCTGGGGCAGGCGATTCCACCCCGTACTCCCGTAATATGTATCTTGAGTCCGACCCGAGAAGTCCACTGACATGATTTACAAAACTCCACTTTGCTACGCCCAATTATCGCCTCCCAGGGGCGATTTGACTGGCTTCGATTTCCCTTATTGCGGTCGAGAGTACCCAGCATGCTCAACAATACACCGGGTACATCCTCGCCACCAGATCCGCAGATCTTCAGCTACATACATATGCCCACAGGCATGATTATTACTTACCCACTCATCGTTCCTCCACGAGTCCACACACTCCGTATATGTAGTGTAGATCTCGACTTGGCACTATGTACACTCTGTTTTACCGGTATATACGGAGTACGGTCAGCGTTCAGAAGTTTTTGGAGCACGCCACAAGCCGCATTTAATTTTCTGCCAATTAAACCACCCAACTCATTCAATAGTTTATACGCCATCTCATGTATCTAATGACCTACTCTACTCCGTACACATTGAGGTATTGCTTCAGCTGGACTAACAAAAAAGTGATTCCTTTTAAGCGAATCTACTAGATACGATCGCTTGCCCGATGACGCACATTGCTACCATAGGTAGGCGGTGTAGGAAAGCCAATGTGTTCCAAATACGTTTGACCGGCCACTGTACAGTACTAGTACAGTACAACGGTTTCGACTGCCAAAGCTCTAGTGCGGCGGGTCCTATTCAGGAGAGGGTCCTTTTCAGGGAACAAGGAAATCCTCCTAAAGAATTTGGCGATCGCATGACGGAAGGGACCAAGTCTGTCGGCTCTTTGAAGGGCTCCTGAGCCTCGCTCGCCTTAATTATTACGAGCTAACTGCAGTAGTAGCGCCTAGCCCATCATACACGCACCCTCTACAAATGGAATTGCACCACGACTGGGCGCCCATTTCTTGGAGGGTCCCAGCGACCTGGTTCCCGCCACTCGGAGTTCCAATCATTCCCCCCGTAATGTCCTCCTACACCAGAGATCCGGGAACAACTGATTTATACGCCGTGCTAGTGGTTCGCCCGAACTCTTCAAGATTATAGGGCCTGTACTAAGCACAGAAGAGGTAAATGGCCTGAGTCGAAGACGATATTACTCCGTTTTGCAACTTGGAACCAAATAGTTCATAGCTAACGTAATTCCCGCTTACCCTGGCCACCCGCTTACCCTAGCCACCCCATCCAAAATCGCGTCTTCCTACTCACGTACCAACTTTAACCACCTACAATGCCACCAATTCGCTCTGAATCCTGGCTAAAATCCGCCAAACAAGAGGGCAAAATCCTATTAGCCCTTTCCGATTTAAAAGATGACCGTATCAAATCTATCCGTGCGGCAGCGAAGCTATACGAAATACCACGCGCTACACTACAAACACGCGCTCATGGTGTAGTCTCTATAGCAGAGAGACGCCACCCACGCCATAAACTGNTCGAGGTCGAAGTAGGTGGCGTGGGCGATTCGGTACTGATTCGGCACGACTCCGTCGAGGATTCGTGGCTGTATCTTGATGCGCGGGAGGTCGAGTAACTGGACTAAGGACTCGTTTACTGTTGCATAATAGCGGCAGCCGCTGTCGATAAGAGCTTGTGTAAATTGAATTCCATTCACTCTAGCATCGACTATAAACGGCGGTGTCTCACGTTCTAGTAGCTTTTCGACCCCCTTTCGCTCCTGCTCGCGGCTGAGAATAGGAGCTACTCTTTTCCCGATCCATCCTCGGTAGTCATATCTTCGTCGCCAGAGGCTATTGTGACGGAATCTTCGTCGCTCATAGGCTTCGATTTCTTCACTTTAACCGTACGCTCCTTTCCCTTCTTGCTCGAAGCGGACGTAATTCGTGCACTACCCGGCCGTTATACTGGTAGTAGCGCGCACGTCCCGATAAAGTGGCCGATCTTTCCACATCGTAGGCACTTCCCATCGGCCCGCCGCTGCTCTAGTACGTCCTGGCTAACCCATTAAGCCTGCCTCGGCGCTCCAGTCCTAGATCGGTGGTGTTTCGTGTGGGTTTCGGTTCGGTTTACCGACACAGTAGGCGTCCAATCCATTTCGTCGTCGTTCTGTCTAGGCGAACGCGGCCGACGCGGCCGTTCTGCCTTAGTGATATTAAGGGCATCCATATCGGAGCTTATCTCGTGTAGCCGAGAGATCAGGTCCGAAAAGGTGGCGGGAATGCCCCGATTCATCAACGAATTCGTCATTGTCTTATTAAGTGCTCCGAGGAGAATCTGTCGCTTGGCCTCGTCATGCCATTCGAGAGCGTCGGCATCAGCGAATTCCTTTTCTAGCCGTGGTAGGAACCTAGAAAAGCTCATATCTTCCGGTTGCCGAATCTGGTGGAGTCGCCTAGCTGCGCGTGCTTTGACATTCGGGTCTCCATAGATATTCTCGAGGTAGTCGAGTAAGGCCTGTGGTTCGCCAGTGTCTCGGCGGAGTTTCACAAAGGTTCCGGTGTTCTTCCATGCAAGCTTCTCTAGTCTAGAGAAGACATATATGAATTGGTCCTGAGGAGAACCAATAGCTTCGCCGTCTACACTAAGCTTGTTCTCAATCGAAATTCGCCAGGTTGGCCAGTCGCTCGTGCTTCCACCGAATGGCTTTGGGTCCGGGAGACGGGGCTTCGGTCGGTGAATAATCTCTGTTCGTGGAGGAATCGGCACCGGTTCGGTAGCCGATCGGGCTGGTGTCGCCTGTCCTTCGTTCATCGTGGTTGTCGTCGTGGCCAGTGA